TTAATTTTCTATATGTCTTCTAATTAGTATTACTAATACTTATTTTAGTAAGTAGTAAAATTAATTTTTTTTATTATATATATATATATATATATATATAATAATAATAATAATAATAATAATAATAATCAACTATAGTTTTAAGGGACTTTGTGATTTTCTTTTCAATATTTTCATCAAATTATTTCTTATGAAATTTGAATTCTATATTCATTTCATATGTATTTTTTTAGTAGAAATCACACCCCAAGTGATTGCTTTAGTAGCATAGGGGTTAAGACAACCCTGTATATAACCTCCTTAAAATTAATGTTAGATTTATTATTTTGAAAATAAAACAGGTTACCTATGCTTGTTGCAAAAGGTAAATGTGACCTAATAACGATATAAAAATTCATCACACTGTAATTAGACTGATACTAGCGTTTAACCAATAAGACTAAATGAAACCAACGGCTGACCATGGAATTAAATCTTTTTTCATGAAGAAGCTTGGAATAACCTTTTGAACTATGGAAAAAGGTACATGTTTAAAAACACAAGAATCGATTGTTTCAAAGTCAAATCATAAAACAAATTAAAGCTAATTCTTTTAGTCTATGGATTTTGACAATAATGTAGGTGCATGCATGGGAAGATCGACAACAAATGGCAAGGGAAATAGACAGTATTTGGAATAAGGAACTTACAAAAGTTGAGTATTAGGGAAAGAAAAAGTGGGATAGATTTGTAGTAAATCCTAGATAGATATGTATTCTCTTCTTGATTCTTTATCAAAGAAGGATCAAATTTTGTCTTCAAGAATGTCAAACAAGAGACACTTGTTGAGAGTTTGATTTTACAAGATATAATTGATCACTCGCAACTTATCGAGGACATTACTTTAGATTATTAAGAGGTTACGAAGATGATCAGGTTAGGTTAGTAAATAGTCGACAATCTCGTCATCTAGTTTCCGTCTTCTCTGTATCATGATTAGTACTCTCCTATCATCTTATTCTTTGACTTTAATTAGCACTACGTATTGTTTTAATTTCTTTGTTTCAATTATCGTAGTTGTTGCTACCATTCTTTTCTCCATTATTTTCAACTCGCATTTGTATCTATTGTATTCACATTTTATACATGTTTTGATTTGCTCGAGGTTCTATTGAAAATAACTTCTCATTCAATTCGTAAATCCCACTTATGAAATTATACCAGATAAACTCCTTCACGTACTTAATTACTTTATCCTTCTCCTTATTATATGGAGTCCGGAGCCTAAAGGGTATAAAATGTTAACAAAAATTCCAAAATGGTATATAAATATTTATTTTAATCAAAAGGGCAAAATTGCTGGAAGGGTAGCGATTTCGCTCACCGGAAAAAGTAAAATCGTTGCCTTAGCAGCGATTTCCAAAACAAATTTTTGTTAATGATTTTTTAATAAATCGCTGCCTAATCAGCGATTTCTTTAATTTTTTTAATTATTTATTTAAAAAAAAAAACTAAGAGCAACTCGCTGCAAGGGCAGCGATTTGTCTCCAAATTGTTTTTTATTTTTCCAATAAATTTTAATTTTTTTTACAATTTTTAAAATTAAATTTTAAATTTTTTAAAGAAATTTTAATTTTAAATTTTTCTACAACTTATTCCAAAATAATTTTTTTTAATGATTTTTAAAAATAAGTAGCAATCAAAATTTTTCTAAAAAATTGATTTAAAAAAATATAAAAAAATTGGAGACAAATCGCTGCACTTGCAGCGATTTGCTCTTCATTTTTTTTTAAATTTCAAATAAAAAATTAAAAAAAAAAGTTAAAGAAATTGGAGCGATTTATTAAAATATTATTTTAAAAAATTATTTTGGAAATCGCTGCGATTGCAGCCATTTTGCTTTTTTCAGCGAGCCTGCTCTTCTAGTTTTGGAATTTTTGTTAATATTTTATACCCTTTAGGCTCCGAACTCGGGAAGAGACTATCAAACATTAATTTTCTCCATACAATCCTTTAATATTTTAGCGTTTCATTTATTATATTTTAAAAGTTATGTGTTCGTGTCAATTACGATTTGTTATTTAGTCATTTATCTTTCATAATACACGTATATTATTTCTCCTTATTAGCTACCAAAGGACGTTCCTATTCTCTTTGAGGTATTATTAACAGAGAATCAAAAATTAACTCAATCGAACGATATTATGAAACACCATTTTCAGAGGAATCAAATACTTTCTTACAGCTATTACTTGATAGGCAAGAAATGTGTCCAGATATATCACTGATCTGTAAAGTGTTCGTCTGCTAAATTGAAATACTATCGCTGCCTGTATCGAAATTTAAAGAAATACGAGTCATTTTTTTTACAACAACAACAGATTCAGCGTAATTCCATAAGTGTTCGTCTGCTAAATTGAAATAATATCGCTGCCTGTATCGAAATTGAAAGAAAGACGAGTCATGTTTTTCACAACAGCAACAGATTCAGCGTAATTCCACAAGTGGGGTTCAGGGAGGATGATCAGAGTTGGTCTTTTTTGACACGAAAATGAAGAAATTGGGTTCTTGATTACTAACTCTGCGTATCAAAATTAAAAAAAAAGATCAGTCATTTTTTCACAACAACAACAAAATCAGCATAATCGCACAAGTGGGGTACGGCGACTCAGGAAGGATGACCAGAGCCGGGGTTTTTTTTTTTTTGAAATGTTCTGTGAATTTATGAAAATGAAGAAATTGGCTTCTTGATTACTAACTCTGCGTATCGAAATCTAAGAAAAACATCAGTCATTTTTCACAACAACAACAAATTCATCATAGTCGCACAAGTTGGGTATGGAGAGGACGATCAGAGCTGGTGTTTTCTGACATGCTTTGTAAATTAATGAAAATGAAGAAATTGGGTTCTTGATTACTAACTCTGCGTATTGAAATTCAGAAAAACGATCAAGTCATTTTTTCACAACAACAATAAAATCAGCATAATCGCACAAGTGGGGTACGAGAAAGATGATAAGAGTTCTTGATTACTTACTCTATGAGTGAAATTGATGAGTTGGTTTTGACAAGAGAACATAAAGGATATGGGTGGGTGTGTATGGGGTTGCGTGGGGTGGAGAGAGACAAACTAAGATATATTTGGATGGGATGGTTGTTACATATTATTTCGTAATGTATAGTAATACGTTTTCTCTCAACGTATATAATATTTTTTATTTTTCGAGAGTCAAACAATTTAAATAGATTTGTTTGAATTTTGAAATTCGAAAACTATCACATAAATTGAGATAGAGAGAGTATATTGTTTCCGTGTCTGTTTCTTCTTAAGTAGGTTACTGGATAGATTTACTATGAAAATATATGGAATGGTAAAATAAAATTATCAAATAATAAGTAAAGACTGTCAAAAAGCGCTTTACTACCCAATGTGTGATTTTTCTATGTAAATTTAAATTTAATCGGACTTTATATGGATACCAAACACTAAGTGGGTAATCAAAATAAAATAAACAGCCAAAATGAGAATAATTTTATAAAGTTAAGGATATACCCAATCAGACTTTCTCATAAACCTAAAAATAAATTTAAACAATACCATATAATAACATTTCTATAATAAACAAAATTAAAAATTACAAATTCAGATGAATTCAATTATCATAAAATTATCATAGATGAATTTGATATTATCAATTTGTATCCGCCTCTGGAGAGGGATAGTCTGACAAGGTATGGGGTGGTGAATGATACGGGATAAGGAGATAATCAATATGAAATATCTGAAACTTATAAAAAAATTTATTATTAGAAAAGTCATTTTTTTAATTTGAAATAACTTATTTTTCTAAGAGTTGGTGTGAATTTATTTAAGGTACATTTCGATACATTTTGCTATTAAAATTAACTACTTTATGACAATGAAGACTAAAATATCCTTTGGTAACCGATACAACGTCGTATTGTGAAGGTAATGAAATAGAACATGAAAGTATAAACTCTCGAGGAGTAGAGTCGGACAATATTTCTTCTAAAATATTACAAAAATCAGCTAATTATTGTCTATATAATAATCACACTAACAATATATCTATAATTTGCTTCCAGAATTGGTAGTGAAAATCAGTTCAAATTTATCTGAAGTTTGTGCATGTTGGTCTCTAACAAACGATTATAGCAAGAACACACCTCATCCTGCAAAATCAATTTTCAACACATAATTAATATCCAATAAAGACATTTCGAGAATCGATCGTTACGACATAACATTAAAGTGAAATAATTGAAAAGAATATAATAAATACTTACAAGTGGAATAAGCCAATTTTGAGGCAATGCATTAATCTCATCCCTTATCATTTCATGTGTCAATATATTTGAATTTGATGCTAATAATGCTGCTGCTGCTCCTACTACAAATGCTCTCAGACTCATTAACCTCAAATCTGCTTCAATATAAACAAATTCTTTGTTAGCCTAAATTTAAATCGCGTTACTTATAGTTACGTCTAATATTCATTTGCTGAATTGAATTATGACTCGTTTTACGTACCTCCAATTGTACTCATAATGATTTCAATAGTTTTGGATTTGGCGTACCCTTTTCTTGAAATATCTCTGCAGAATCTTGACAAGAAATATTTGATGAACTGAATTGGAGTAACAAAAGTAACAATCCCTCTAAATTGTTCAACAACATCATTTCTCATCATCGTTATGATTCTTCCACAACATTTTGTAGAACTCGAATAATCTGATAAACCTGGTTGAACTTCATCTTCCTCCAATTGCTCACAAGCTAAATATAAACATGCAATTCCCAATAACTTTGCTGCATCGAATCTTTCATCCTACATACAATGATACAAACAATATTTTTTTTTAAAAAAAAATTGAAATAAGACGAATAAATTGAAACAGACGGAGTATTATTAGTTACTTGTATTGGCATTGATGAAAGAAACCTATCAACATAAACCACTGCTGTATAAACTGTGACTTTTTTTACCCCAAAAGGTCCTCCTGTCTGCAAATACATAGAAATTTCAAAAAATGAAATTAAAAATAGATTAAAAGAATCGAAATGGGGTTTTCGATTTTCGATTAATTACATGAACAATGTGATGAATTGCAGTATGACGAGCTTCAAGAAGCCATGGATGTTGGGTTGTTCTTGAAGAAAGTTGATTGGTGAGCTCAGCATTTTCAATTGTTTCTTCAATTCTAAACATATTTTCGACGTAATCTTGATTATCTCCTCCAATATCAGTTTTTTCTTCTGCCCAAAATTGTCTAGCGGCGAATCGTTGAATACGTCTGGAAACGGGTTTTTTATATGCGCTCATTTGAAGATTTGTGAAAATATCATCCCAATCTTCTTCTGCCATTTTTCTTTTGATTTTGAGTTATTTGATCAGTTATTTCATGGCAATTTTGAGTTTATATAGAGCTAAGAAAAACTGTAAAAATGCAAAAATGGCGGCTAAATCTTGAGCTCTAAAAACAGGGGATTCTTTTGTTTTTTTTTCCAAAACAGGGGATTTAACACATTGATAAGTTATATATTACTTGACATAAATTAGTTATTTCACATTCTATTTTCTATAAAATAAGACTTAGTTTTATGGGGTTTTAAACGATTAATATCTAAATTAACTTTATTTTTTATCTATTTACCGATGTTGTATAAGTTATACAAAAACTTAAAATATGAATAATTCTTTTTTATCCGGCTACTAAACTATCCGTACGATATAACTCGATCTTACTCGAATGGTAAGCAAATGGTAAGCAATTTTCATTTTCAATTCGAAGATTGCGATTTCGAATCGCTAAAAGAGCAAAAGGAGGAAAACTCGTAGAAAAGAAACAAAAAGACTATACCTTTTAACTTGATTTGAAGTATAGTGGAGAGTAATTTTTAAATTGTAACCAAAATTAGATTGATAAATATTTTGTACTCGTGAAATTCATTGTAATTTGTATCAGAGTTCCATCAAGCTGACTATCAAACAAGTTTTAGTTGACTTGCAAAATATTTTCTTTGAAAAATAATACGTTCTTTGTTTGAAAAAAAAAATTACCATATTTTCTTTTTAGTTTATTATAAAAGAATGATTTTTTTTGATAAAATTATATCTTTAACTTTTCACGTGACAGATATAAGATTACAAAATTAAATGACATTTTGACATAATTTTAATTTAGAAACACGAGAATAAAAAAATCTATTTCTTTTTTTAAATTTTATTTAAGTCAAAGTAGTTACAGAACAATAACAATAACAATAACATGTGAATTAACTTAGAGAGTATTACACAATATACAGTCCAAAATAGTAACTATGTCATAATATTTCCGTTTGTGTCCAAAATATTACATAAAACAACAAATTACAGTCCAAATTATCAACTTATGTCAAGTCTGTGCCTATTGGTCTCCAGCAAACGATCATAGCAAGAGCACATCTCATCCTGCACAATCAATTTGTATAATTACAACATTTAATATATTATAAATTGTAACATATAATTTACAAAAAAAAGGTGAATAATTGAAAAAGATATAATAATAATACTCACAATTGGAATCATCCATTTTTTAGGCAAGGCATTAATCTCCTCCTTTATCATTTCATGTGTCAATATATTTGGATTTGATGCTAATAATGTTGCTGCTGCTCCTACTACAAATGCTCTAACACTCATTAACCTCACATCTGCTTCAATATCAACAAATTCTTTGTTAGCCTAAATTTAAACCTCGTTAGTTATAGTTACGTCTAATATTCATTTCTTTCAACGCCATTTAAAGAAAACTATACAATTAAATTACGTACCTCCAATTGTACTCATGATGACTTCAACAGTCTTGATTCTTGCATACTCTTTTCTTGAAAAATCTTTACATAACTTTGACAAGAAAAATTTGATAAACTGAATTGGAGTAACAAAATTCACTATCCCTCCAAATTGTGTAACCACACTGGACTTTAAATTCATTATGCTTTCTGTATAACTTCGACTGTCCACAGATACTAATAATCCTCTATAATCTTCATGTTCCTCAAAAGCCAAATATAAACATGCATATGCAAGTAACACCGCAATCCGCAATATTTTTCGTTTCTACGAAAAGAAAAAAATAAGACGAAGCAAATTGAAACGGAAGGAAGGAAGGAGTAGTAATGAATGGAATAACTTACTTTTGGCACTAACGAAAGAAACCTATCAACGTAAATTACTGCTGCGTAAATTGTGATTTTTCTGACTCCAAGACTTCCTCCAAACTGCAGATTTTCAAAAAAAAAATAATATGAAAATAATAATAATAATGAAAATAGTGAAATGGGATTTTCGATTTTCATTACGAAAACAATGTTGTAGATTGCAGTACGGCGAGCTTTAGGAAGCCATGGAAGGCTGAGTGTTCTTAATGGAAGTGTGTTAGTGAGTCCAGCAATGGCGATTTTCTCTTCTTCTTTAAGCATGTTTTCGACGTAATCTTCGTTATCTTCTCCAATATCAATTTTTTTTTCTGCAAAAAATTGCCTGGCGAATAGTTGAAGACGTCCTCGACATGCACTCATTCGAAGATTTGTGAAAATATCACCCCAATCTTCTTCTGCCATTTTTCTTTTGATTTTGAGTTATTTCTTGGCGAATTTTGTGTTTATATAGAGCAAATCTTGAAATGTGGACTGGAGTTTCTGACCTCTATAAACAGGGGATTCAATTTTTTCTTCTTAAAAACAGGGGATTTAACACATTGAAAAACAGAGCATAAGTGCCTTTTTTTTTGGAGTTATTTGGGTGATTTTATGATTATATGGCAAAATTAAAAGAATGTATTAGTAATGTAGCGATTTGTTATCGGTGAATATATGTATTACGGTATAGTTATTCCACATTTTATTTCATATAAAATAATATATAGATTCCTTGATAATTTGTACGTATATTCGTTACGTAGATTTCTAAACAGTCAATCAAATGTTATATACTTATATTAATTAATACATTCTATTTCTTTCCGTTTAAAAAAGAATTGACCCATTTCTATATAAAATAATAATTTAACTATAAAAAGTCTATTTTAATTTATATCGACACAAATTTATATCATTTATTTTGGATCATAAATTTTTAAAATCCTTCTTTCTTTTTTAAACTTTGTGTCTAGTCAAACTACCTTTAGATAAAATGAAACTGAGAAAGTATCTACTTACGAAACATTGTATAAGTTACACGAAAATTAGAACATCAATAATTTATTTCTTATCGCGCTACTAAACAATCCGTAAGTGATAAATGTTGCATCCTAATAGCACTTTTTTGGATTCACTTAAATTTTAGTTCCATCATTGCCCTTGACTATAACGTAATTCAATGAGAGAGTTGCTTGGATAATATGCACCGATTGTAAGTTCGAGTGGATAAGAGCGCAAAAGAATTGAAGCTAGGAAGAAAAAATAAGACTATAACTTAACTGAAGTATAGTGGAGGATAATTTTTAAATTGTAACCAAAATTAGATTGATAAATTTGAACCTTTTTTTCTAAAATATTTTGACTTTCAAAGTATTTTCAAACTGTTTGGAAAATAAAATACAAATATAAGAGTAATAACAATAACAACATAATATGAATTGTATTAGAAAGCATTACACAATATACAGTCCAAAATAGTAACTATGTCATAATATTTCTGTTTGTGTCCAAAATATTATACATAAAACAGCAAATTACAGTCCAAATTATCAACTTATGTCAAGTCTGTGCATGTTGGTCTCTAGCAAACGATCATAGCAAGAACACACCTCATCCTGCACTTCCCAACGCATATTAATATATAATTACTACACTTAATATATTATAAATTATAACATATAATTTACAAAAAAAAGAAAAAAAAAGATATAGTAATACTCACAATTGGAATAAGCCATTTTTTAGGCAATGCATTAATCTCATCCTTTATCATTTCATGTGTCAATATATTTGAATTTGATGCTAATAATGTTGCTGCTGCTCCTACTACAAATGCACTAACACTCATTAACCTTACATCTGCTTCAATATAAACAAACTCTTTGTTAGCCTAAATTTAAACTGCGTTAGTTATAGTTACGTCAAATATTCATTTCTTTCAACACCATTTAAAGAAAACAATATATATTTGGTGAATTGAATTATGACTCGTTTACGTACCTCCAATTGTACTCATGATGATTTCAACAGTTATGGATTTGGCGTACAATTTTCTTGAAAGATCTCTACAGAATCTTGACAAGAAATATTTGACGAACTGAATCGGAGTAACAAAAGTGACGATCCATTTGAATTGTGTAATAATATTGTACTTCATACTCATTATGCTTCCTATATAGTTTGATGTTGAAATTTGACATTCATATTCTTCAAATTGCTCACAAGCCAAATATAAACATGAAATTGCCAATAATTTCGCAATCGGCGATATTGGTTTCTACAATAAAACATTTAAGTAAAGTTAACGAAACAGAAACAAATTGAAACGGAAAGAGTAATAACGAAAGGAAGTACTTACTTTTGGTACTGATGAAAGATACCTATCAACATAAATCATTGCTGTGTAAACTGTGATTTTTCTGACTCCATTACATCCTCCTATCTGCATATATAGATATAAATTTCAAAAAAAAAAATGTAAAATAAAATAAAAATAATGAAATGGGGTTTTTGATTTTCGATTGATTACGTAGACAATGTTGTAGATTGCAGTACGGCGAGCTTCAAGAAGCCATGGAAGGCTGAGTGTTCTTAATGGAAGTATGTTAGTGAGTCCAGCAATGGCGATTTTCTCTTCTTCTTTAAGCATGTTTTCGATGTAATCTTCGTTATCTTCTCCAATATCTTCAAATTCTTCTGCGAAAATTTGTTTATGGACGAATTCTCTTTCGTAATCACCTTTGAAAATAGCTTCTTCATTTGCACTCATTTGAAGATTTTTGAAGATATCACCCCAATCTTCTGCCATTCCCCCCCCCCTTTGATTAGTTATTTCTTGGGGATTTTGTGTTTATATAGAGCAAAGAATAACTGTAGAAACAGAAAATTAAAGAGGACGCAAAAATGGCGGCAAAATATTGAAATGTGGATTGGAGTTTTTGAGCTCTAAAAACAGGGGATCTTTTTTTCTCTTTCAAAACAGGGGATTACACAGTTGTTAAAATCCATCTACATATAAACATATAAATTTATTAATATTTTTAATAACGAATTTAAAAATATATTTAGTGAAATATGATTCTATTATTTTTGTTAAAATTTAAATTTTAATTTGAATTTAATTTTATCTTTTTTTTATTACATTCAAAAGTTTTGATGTTGCTATAGTGGTAATATTTTTGAGTGAATGTGGAATGATTTTTTTTTTTGTATTAACATTTCAATTTACGTACTTGATTTGTTATTGTCGATTTTGTGATAAATAAGAAGTCATTTTGCATATGATTTCATGAAATTTCCTTTGTTACTTATATAGTTTATTCTAAATTTCCTTTGTTACTTATATAGTTTATTCTCTCATCAGAATATTTTTAGCTAAGATATTTCATGACAAATTTTAAATGGGAAGTCATTTTTTGATATATTTTTAAAAGATTTCCTATCTTGCTTATATATTTTATTTCTCACCGGAATATTTTTAGTAACGATACAATAAATAATATTTTGTGACAACTTTTAAATGAAAAGTCACTTTTTTGATATAGTTTCAAGAAATTTCCTTTGTTATTTATATAATTTATCTCTCACCAAAATGGTTTTAGTATATATACAATGAATAGTATTTTGTGATACCTTTTAAATAAAAAGCTATTTTGAGATATAATTTCAAGAAATTTCCTTTGTTGCTTCTATAATTTATTCTCTTCCTATAATATCTTAAATATTTTAGTTTATTCTATTACCATCATACTTCAAATGTTTTTTGTGAAGATAAACAAGAATATTATTTAATTATTCAAAAATAATGACTTTATTTTTATAATGAATTATTAAAATTTTTGAATTTATTTTAAAAAAATATAAAAATATTACCATGTATATACACGTATATTGTACTTCTATATATAATAAATTTATTTATTTTACATAAACACACGCCACTCAGTTTCGTAGAGGCGAAATTACGCACGTGCACCCGTCACGTGTATCCGTGACGAAATAAACGGCTCAGATTACGCCACGTAATCATCCCTACCACAGCCCCTGCCCCGAATATTCGCAGCCACCCACCCGGAATATCTCATTTGCGTGAAGAGAAATTTTCCTCGAAATTTATTATTAGATCTATAAATAGCAGAGCCATTTTTCTCCACAATTTTCTCTTTTTCATTTTCATTGTGATCTTGTGATTTCTCTAGATCTTCTCCTTTTCTCAATTTTGTCCAAAAAGTTTCTTTATGGATACATTGTTCTTCGATATAATCAAAAAGTTTGATTGCTCTCTTTGTTCAACGCCAGCTTTGCCTTTTGATTCCTTTCTTTTTCATCGTCTGAGTTTTAGTCAAACTTGTATTTGCTTCTAACCTTTTGTTACCTGGAGCTGTCACCATGGGTAGAAGTAAGTTTACGCTTCCTTAATTATGAAAATATATCGATTTTTTTTGAATTGGGTTGCTGTTATTTCACTTGTTTATCGTTAAAATGAATTGGGTTTCTCTTCGTTGACTTGTTAATTGTGGAAGAGAAATTTGAGAGTTTATTCGAATTGGGTTTTTGCTAGAAATTGAATTGGCTTTCTGTTCTTTTACTTGTTTATTGTGAAAAAAATTAATTCTTTGAGAGTTCATTGAATTGGGTTTCTGTGCTTTACTTTTTTATTGTGAAAACGTTCTTAGAGAGTTTAATTGAATTGGGTTTCTGCTATTTTGCTTGTTTATCGTGAAGTTGAATTTGGTTTCTCCTTTTTGACTTGTAATCGAGGAAGAAAAATTAGAGAGTTTATTGAATTGGGTTTCTGCTATTTTTGCCTGTTGAAATTGAATTGGGTTTATCTTCTTTAACTTGTATATTGTGGATTTTTAAGTTTATTGAATTGGGTTTCTGTTTGTGAAACAAATATTGATCTTTGAGTTCAATTAACTTAATGTTGATGAAATGTTAGTATTTGTTTTTTATAACAGTAGGATCTTGATGGGTGAAGCACAAAATCAAACCCTAATTTTTAGTGCTGTTGGGTAAAGTGTGTTGCTTTGTGGGGAATTTTGGGAATTTAAATGTTGTATTGGAACTTTAAAGGGAATTAGGAATAAAGGGTGTTTGCTGGTCGAATTGTTTCTCTTTTTAGGAAGTTCACAACGTAGGAATGCTGCTATGCTGGATAGTGATGACACGGATAGCTTGAGTTCATCATCAACTACTCGGTCGGATATGATGTTGTCTGGTTTAGAGGAGGTGCAATTTGACAAGGAGACTGTCCTTGATCAATGTGTGGATGCCCTTTATGAGAAAAGGTTTGATATATTTGAATGCTAGAAGTATTACTCAATTCTGAAGTTCCCATCTTTGATCATTAGCTCCACTTGAGATTTTTGTTTCTGATGAAGAATAAGGCTTATGTTTCTATTTGTTTGTTGGCTTTAGGGGATCAACAAGAGAGAAGGCTTTGACATCTATTATAGAAGCATTCAATAGCAACATACAACATGAATTTGTTGAAAAGAAGTAAGGAAATTTGCCTACTTTTTATGAAGTTATATTAGGAAATCTGTTATACTTGCCTCTAAGGTGCTAGTTTATATTGTATTATGCTGGCTTTTGTTTGAGGGTTTGGGAGAGGGGGTTGGCTAGCAGTGGTAT